CTTGTAATTCCAAGACTTGTTGTTACCGTTTTCATTTCTCTGTGATGATCTTCCTCGAGACTCAACGTACAAGCCTTCTGACTACTTTCCTTTTGTTAGTAAACCCTTCTGCTTTAGCTCAGCTTCCTTTGAATATGCCACAGTCATCACCTCTCCCACAGTCAAAGTGTCCCTCCATGTACCATACTGTAAAGTATGAACCAAAGGTTCATAAACTGTAGGCAGGCCTGATAGTAGTTGAATGGCCTGGTCCTCGTCAGATACTTCGATCTTGATGCTAGCTAAGTCAGCTACAAGCTTTAAGAATTGGTCAAAATTCTCTTCCAAAGCCTTATCATCCTCCATCTTGAAGCATGACAATTTCTTCTTAAGGTAGATCCTATTTGGTAAAGACTTAGTCTGGTAGTCCTTTCCCAAAGCTTTCCACATGCCCAATGCTGTATGTTCATGCATTATTTTCCTTAGTATAACGTCGCTCAAGCTCATCGTTTAGAACTTTTGAAAGTCCTTGAATCTCCAGCTGAGCAAGCATCTTGAACTTCCATAAACCGAAGTCTTCTTTTCCATCAAATTTCTCTATTTCAAACTTTCCTCGAGTTTGATCCATCTTATTGATGATACCGCGACTATCATGTCACCTACAATCAACAAGAAAAGCAACTCGCAGTGATCTATTCCCAAGACAACCTAAGTTCTTTAATAGATCTGAGACTAAGTTGAAATAGAAACAACCTGATAAACTCCGTGATCGAATCCGATGACGATACACGGTGGTTATCTCCGATTGTCTTCTTAATTCTCCTTCTTGCTCTGTAACCAGAGCTCTGATACCAATTGTAGAAGTATCTAGCTACCTATGACACTCAACGATCCCGTTCTCTATCGTTTCTCTAACTGTTTGATTGACTCTCGTTTGTTTCAGGTTTGCCGACTCCTCAAACTCTTGAAAGATAAGCAAAAGAAAGAAGAAGAAAAACAGAGCACACACAAGACGTTTTAAAGTTCCCGTCAATAGACTAGGTACATCTCCTTTCCTTCAGGATCGGTGCCTTGAATTCACTATCACCTTTGTTTACAGAAGCTCGAGTAAGATCTACAATCAACAGAATCAACCTCTCTCTCGATCTCTCGGATGAAGACGAAGAAGGTTTTTACAGCCAACATAAAGGATAAGATCCCCTACGACGTAGTTTCACGTATTCTGGTAAGACTCCCTCCTGTTGGGCCTCTTTTACTCGTGCAAAGCCCATCAAGCTTATAACCTTTTCTTTTGTTCTATAAACACTAAACATGCTTCCTTATTCTTATGCGCTTCAGATCGAAGACCACATCTCACAGTATCGAAAGACGAATCTGGTGTCTGGAAAATTCAGGATTATTAACATGCCGATCAAATAGGTTACTGATAGAGAGTACAAAAGTACCCCTACGTCAAACGATCTCAACATGCCTGAGGATCGGTATATCCCATTTACCTCCCTCCTTCTAGCGCCATAGAAGAAACGAATAGATTTTTCTCTGAATCGAACCATCGACATAAAACCCTGAACATCACTAAAAGGTCCCAGCCACAAATTTATTTCCTAAGAACAAAAACGATAAATCGCATATTGTTTAATGGTGTCTCCAAACGAAAACAAGACCAGAACTGGCAGGAAATACAATATAACTTGTGATGGCGTGCTATGAGTCGTACACACATCCTTAGTTCACAGCCTGAATGCATCGCCCTCCGTCAACCATGCAAAGAACGCACAATCAAACATCAGACACTATTCCGTCTCCACTAGCTCGCAGTCATTGGCACCAGAACACACCCATGTCGGTAAACAATTCTTTATAATCTATTGCACATATCAGCATATAACTCAGAAAATATTATAAATTCTCGCATTTCCGTTTCAACCTTTTAAGTTATCAAAGTCATAATGATTCATTATTTTGCATCACCGCTCCTCGATGAATTAAACTTATAAGAACCGCAAAATATTTTAGACACTCTTCTTGCACTGTCCATAATTCAAATTATTATCGATATTTACGTTTCAGCCTCAAGCGGTAAGAACCCTCATTGAACTTTATTTTCATCTTTAACTCTTAGCAAGTTTTACCACACTGTCTCAAACGACCCAAGCTCTCATCGACCCAAATCACCCTCCATGTCAAAAATAACATCAATAAACCACGTCTTTTGCCACTATCGGCCTGGAGTTAGATTTCTGATCAGCTTCTTTCTCGCAAAACATCTCAAGGACAAGCAATATAAATTTCTCATATAGTCAAAACAAAACACACGTTCGCTCTCTACGTATAGCCAATCATTTCGCATTGACTTGAAGATTCGTTGAGATTATATATATATTTCCAACACCTTATAAAAACATAAAATATTTAAAAATAACCAAACCGGCAAGAAATGATCGACCAGATTCACATCAAAATCTCATAAGTAAAATAAATTTAAGATATTCATCAATCCTACCACGAGAGACCAAAGTAATTCTCAACACTTCTCAAACCAGAAACTTTGTCGACAAGCTCGACCCATATTTACGAAACTCCGAGCTCGATCCAACTCTCATCCCTGGCGCGAAATTTACAATAGGCGACCTCGAATTCTCGTTTCAACCCACAAAAATAAACGACACCAATCTCAATGATCAAACGAACTTCAAAGGATTTTACGCGACACATCCAGCGGCTTGGATCGAGATCACGTTTTGATCATAAAATAGCTAATGTCAACCATTCAGCGAAGTCTCCCTTGCATCTCACTGTCAAACAGAACAACTTCACAAACCCCAGAAGAAAGTCGATTTGGAGTTGTGTTGTTCCAGTTGTTATAAGATTTTTAGTTCTCTAACCTCATCACCTCGCTTGAAGAACTGGGGGGCAAATGTTTGACCAAGATTTAGCAATAAAATCCCTCCCACCAAAAGAGTTATGCTATTAACAATATTATTAAGTATAGCCCAAGTCAGCCCACTTTGGTCTCCGAGCCAATACATGTAATTGGCCTCCCTTGAAGATTATTAGAAAAATATCACTTGAAACTTAAGAGGAGGTAACTAAGTCAAATATTTTCCTCCTAAAGTTGTGCACGTGGAAGATCCTTGAACATACCAAACTTCCCTAAGGAGGTGGAAGTCAAAGCAAGACTTTAGGAGCGTGTGCAACAACGTTATGAAAGGGAAGAGACGAGCTATTGGTATAAAAGAGGACAAGAGGTCGCTCTCAAAGGCAGAGATTTTTTCCCAGAAAAGATATACAAAGAGAAAAGAAAACATCATGCTAGAAAAGAAGGAGAAACCATGTCTCTCTTCTAGGTGAGATCACGCTTGACAAGAAACGTTATCTACACCCTTGGATGAGAGCTCGAGACTAAAAAGATCTCTCACTCAGCAGGAGATGCGACGATAATATTTATAATCACTTCCATGATTATCAAATAATTACATTTCAATCTTATTGGTCACAATGACAAACCTTGATCATGCACGACATGAGCTCGTAGTTGTACGATGCCATTTACACGAAACAGATTGAACCGGAGTGACTCCACACCTCGTTCAAGAACTGATGAAACCGACATCTCATTCGAAAATCGAACTACATTTAGACATGATCCCATGTCGGGTACGTAGGCAGCTCGATCCCAAGTTCAGTCGCGATCTTCCTCCTCCCGATATCTCTATGATATTCAACATGCGAATATAGTCCATTTTCACCGACCCATACCTGATTACATCGTTGTGTTCTGAGGATTTCCTTCCCTATTTCATTTATCTTCCCTAGATTAATCTCTCAATCACTACAAAATACTTAGTGTGGATTTTAGGATCTACAAGTATTAACCCATGAACAGTAACACAGGTGAACAGTAACTCATATATTTATTTGTAATGTAGTTTCCCTAGTAATCCAAGTTTGTTTGGTTTCTTTAGAAAGTTAAACCTACTTATAAACTCTTGTAGCCACCATTGTAAAGATCATGGGAATCGAGTTTCTCTCTCTATTTTCTCTTTTTCATATTTCTCTCTAAAATTTCTTAAGATTCTCTCTTGTGTTCTTCATTCTATTCAAAGTTAATCTCAAATTCTAACATATACCGCTGTGTATGTAGGAAACCTCGCTCCTGAAGTAAGTTGTCAAGTTTTTAATGGAACTGCTTTATAAAAACAGAGACAGTTCATGTTTTTCGCAAGTCGTGACAGTCGTCTGTTTAGCAGGTAACTCAGCTTGATCTACACCGCATGTTCAGTACACTAGGCGCTGGAGTGATTGAGAAGATCAGTGTCCAGCGAGACAAAGGCTTTGGTTTTGTGAGATATAACACTCATGACGAGTCTGCTCTTACTATTCAAATGGGTAACTCTCGGCCTTTCCCTCTTTAGCAGACAGATAAAGGTACTCACTTCAGTTTTGATCAAACTCTTCTTGTAAATTGATTTCACCAGTTTTCACCTAACCACATTTCCATGTTTATGTGATTACTAATTGCAGTGTTCATGGAGAAACAAACTAACTCCAACAGGCACAGCCTCAATGGGCACCACTAGTGCCAATGCCAGTCCCTGGTCTTTCCTCAATGGACCTCTTAGCTTATGATGCATCCTCAGGCTCAGCATTATCTAAGGCAAGTCAAGGCAGCTGGAGCAAGTGCAGCTATGTATGATGGTGGCTTTTAGAATGTAGCTGCGGCGCATCAGCAGCTCATGTACTATCAAATAATAAACTCAGTCTGATCTTTTGGGTCCGAGATGCCTCTTATATATATATTTCATTTTCTTGCTTTTATTTGTAGACCTTATTCAAAGTCTTGTGTATGTGAGCTATGATGAGTGTGCGATTTGTAAGTTAAGCAATAAAATAACATGAAATAAAAAGGAGTTTTGTTTGGATTCCAAATTTGATGGGGTCTAGACATGTTTGATAAGGAGTAGTATTGTATTGTGTAATAAAAAATTAAAACTTATGTGCAAATTTCTTGTTATTTACATAATTACATGCTTCTCAGGTGGTCATTAGTATATTCACAAAACCCGTAGCACTTTCTCTCTTTCTGGTCGTTTTCAACGGTCCAATGCGCAAGCGTTGATCACAATCCTGTAATTTAGTATAAACACAAAGCAAAGGAGATTTCACATGTAATGCAATATTGCAACTATGAACTATATAAGAGCTTTATAATGAAAATTAAGTGACGGAGATAATTATATTAACCATTCATAAGTAGTGAGACTTGCGGCATCAGCTTCACCGGCGGAAGGGACTTTATCGGCGCTGAATGGTCCAAAGTTATCACATGGTGTCCCGGCTGCATAGATAGTTATAATGAGCCTTTTCATCTGTGTTCTTAGGAACAAAAGTACCATTGTAAATATTTATAAAAAAATACCATTCGTTACCTCTTTAAGAATAAACAATGATTCATTCTCCAAAAATTAACGCTCTGTCATAACTATAAGTTGTATTCTTTAATTTAACATTCACATGCTTTTAAAAAACTATGGTAAATCTATCATTACGTGACACCTTGAATTTAAAACCATGCAAAATGAATACAAGTATCAATGGAAATAATCACTTGGTCTTTTCAAAATTTTCTGTTGTGTAGTTTTAGAGGAAGGAGGATAAATAATTACGGGTCAAAGGCGTCCCCGGGGTGCAACTTGACCCGGTCGGAGAATCCAGAACACGACCCGGATCCATGTTCAGTTTCCTGAGTCGACAGGCATTGTTATTTGCCTTGGCAATGCTGGTGAGAGGAGATCGGACGGTGGATAAAGAATCAAGCTTTCTCAATTTTCCGAGACCACTTTCCGGCGTCGGTCCGGCCACCGTATCATCCCACAGCTTGTGTAGGAACCCCATCCGATCAAAATTTTATCCAAAAATATAACTACAATATATTTATTTGTTTAAAACTATCCGGGTTTTTATTTTATTGTCTCCTACTGCAGGGAAAATGGTTTTATAGAGGTAAGGGAGAAAGAATATTTTTAGTGAGGTTAATTATTAGCTTCACCTTAATTAAGGATGTTTTAATTATGGATAAAGATGTTTACTAATCAATAGTTTCTTCTAAGGTCATTGTATTTACTATTTAGACAAGGTGAATAGAGGTCCTGTGTCTTCTTAATTCTAAGAAAACACAAGTTTCAGGACACTCGAGTTCAAAGTTTTGTTTTTTTTTTTTTTTTAATTTGCCTATGTTCAGACAAGATAGCATAACAACAACAACAGCATGATGATGACGATCAGAGTTCTACATTTACACATCCCACAAAGCACAATAACGACGACAACAACAACATTAAATCCTAATCCAGCAAATCTAGAGACGTTTTTAATCATTGCAATATCATAATAAAACATCCTGAGTCTTCAATTGTCAGCTACTTACATTTCCATTATTCTTGACATCATCATCATCATTGATCCTTGGCTTGGTCCTCTCCTCCTCTTGATTGTTCTGCGTTATCTCCATCTGAGTTTTCAAAAACTGCATTCTCTGCAATTCCATCTCTTTAACGAACTTCATCCTCTCCTTCTCCAACTCCATCATCAGCTTAAGCTTAGCAGTCTCCGCCTTCTCATAAGCATCCGTGAACCCGAGAATCGCCTTGGCCACCTCTCCAACTCCAACTCCACTCCCTCCCGAATCATCCATCTTCAACCGCTTCGGTGGCAGACTCTCAGCCGAGTCAGGAGGAGAAGCCTCAGGTTCAGGCTCAGGATCAGACTCAGACTCAGTCTCGGAAGCACTCCGTTTCCTAAAATGCCACCGCATCGAATCAGAGCCTCTCTTCAAACCAACCCCACGTCGTCCCATTGGAGCCTTCTCAGAGGACTTAGAAGCGTTTCCACCGCCACCGATCAAAGCCTCGAGCTTTTTAAAGAAAACCCATTTGCTAGGCCCATCACCAGAAGCGATCTTGGCCTTCTCTTGCTTATACTTCTTCTTAACCGTATCGATCCTGTTCTTACACTGAACATCGGTCTTGAGATACTTGCATTGACGACTCTCATTCACAACCTCAGCCACTTCCTTCCACTGCTGCTGCTTCAACGTCCCCTTCCCTGGCTCCGAGAATCGTTCCCCCCACGCTTCGATTAGGACCTTCGTCGCTTCCTCGCTCCAGCAATCGTCTCTTCCTCCGCCTCCACTTCGTCCGTTTCTGTTGTTGCTGCCGCCTCCGACGCCAGTGGTGACGGAAGGAGTGTGGACCACTAGAGCTAACGCGTTTTTCGACGGAGATTGAGGCGGTTTCGTCGCGGAGGCCACCGTGACGTCGCTCGTGGGTAAAATCGGAGGAGGTGAAGGGGGAGCTGGGGATAAGGAATCGCCAGGAGATTGCGGCGACTGAGTCTCGTCTTCTTCCTCCATGGTGTGGTGTGAATGTTCAGATCGGAAATTTTGTTAGATCTGAGTTTTCTTTTCCTTTTTTTTTTCTCAGAGGCGAAGAGATAAGGTCACCGGATGTATCATCTCCGTTGTTGACCCGAATGATAATTAAATTGACGTATATGCCCTTCCCTCTTTCTTTTAATTACAAAAATGGAGCCGGTGAATATTCGTATGGTATTATGTATGGTTAATTAACATTATTACGACGGTATTATGCTCTTCTTGATTCTGTTTAGGGGTGGGCGCAAATCGAGTACTTGTTATTTTGGATGTACTCGCGACTTGACTTGTCTTGTACGAATAATAAATTTTTCGACTTGTACTTGACTTGTTTAAAACGAATACTTACTATTTCGGGTACTTGATGAAAAATAAACGACTTACAAGTTACTTGTCTTGCTCTATTACTTACTATTTACGAGTACTTATGCACTATTTACGAGCTTTTTCGGAATATTTAAGAATTACTAACTAAATAATATTCTGTTAGAAATAGATATGAAAATTTGTTTTGTTTATTTTACTTAAAGTAACATGTAAATTACTTTAAATAGAATATTTGTTCATATTATAAAAAAGATAAATTAAAAATGCATATTATGGTATATAAATATTGTATAATGATCACGATAACAACAATATCTTCTCTAGATAAGTAACAAGTAATAACAAATCATATTACTAAATTTTTAATATTTGTTGATGTGTAATACTTGACTAGATAACGACGAGTATTCAAATATCAAGATTGGATACAAAATAAATAACAAATATAAGAAGAGTAGTGTGTATTTATGTCTAGTCCTAAATGCAAGTAAAAGAAAAGACAAATATGAAAAACTAATTAATAGATTATGTAACAAATAGCAAGTAATGGAACAAGTAGCGGGGCGAAACGAGTCAAATACAAAATATAATAATGATACTTGATACTTGACTTAGTCTTGTAAGTAATGAAAATTGTCGCCTTGTTACTTGCCTTGACAACACCGAGTACTTGAATTTTTAAGGCGGGTACGAGTTAAATACCAAGTTTAAGGCGAGTAACGACTAATGATGCCCAGCCCTAATTCTGTTAAGTACACATTGGTAGCTTTGCTAAATCCCCTATTAAATATGAGGAAATATTAATTTTTATATATGATTTTAGGTACGGTGTATCGATTGTTTGGTTAGGTAGATTATAGTTGTGACAACTATAATCATATATAAAATTAAATATTTACTCCCAATTTTAAATTACTCTAGGTTTCACAAAAAATACCAATAAATTGAAAAGTTAGTTTCATATTTGCTCTAGCTAGGTACTATTGAAAAAAGAGTAATCGTCTCTAGTGCCCTTATATATAAAATTTAAAGTTAAAATATCCTCAATTTTTTTCTTTTAATTTTATATGTCAAACGAAAAATCACAAAATTAAACTGGAAGCGTCAATATTTTTTATTTGATTTATAGAATTTGATAAAACTATTTCAAAAATTGAAAAAATGTTTTTTTATATTTTTGCGAAAATCATCAAAATATGATTAAAAACGATTTTAAAATATTTTTTTTTTCGAATTTGAAAGGTCTTGTGTGCACATGCGGTGTGAGAAATATATACCATTATTGAAGGAGGAACCGAATACATTGAATGTGAAAAGATCAAGTAGACATTCTGATGCAGACGCAAGTGTAACAATGAATGAAAGTCTCACAGAGAGTGTGTATGCGGATGAATAAAGACTTGAAGAGTGTCTTGGCGATCAAGTTGGATTTAATGCAAAAAAGACTTGAAGAGCAAGCATGTAGAGATTCACCTTGGAGAAGGGAGATCTCGTAAATGGAAAGTTCACAAAAGACTTAGTATGGGTTTTGGGAACTTACCATATTTAGATCTTTAGTAAATATCTAATCTATTAAAATAGAGACATTATTTTTATCTACTGATAAAAGTTGTCATTTAAATTTGGAAATTTTCTAGAGTGTTACAAATAATATCTCAATAATATTATTTGAAAAGTCAGTTTCCTATGTGGCGCGCTCACGTTCACTCTTACACCGGTTGATTACTATGATACCCTTGATGAATATATTTAAATAATATTATTAATTTTATATTTAGTTTCCTTTTTAATACATTCCAAATAACTTTTATAATAAAAAAGAAAAAAATATTAAATTTAAAAACGAAAATATATGTTTATATAATATGATTTCATTAAAAAGGAAAGTTCACAAAATAGTAATATACTATCAAAATAGTAAAATAGTATTATTAATTTTGTATTTAGTTTCCTTTTTCAAAATTTCCAACTAAAATTTATAATAGAAAAAATATCTATAAAATTTCAAAGGAAAAATTAAAAACGAAAATATTTGTTTATATAATATGATTTCATTAAAAGGGAAAATTAACAAAATAGTAACATCCATTAAAAATATTTTAAATAACATAAAATGTACTTTTTAATTAATAAAATACTTTCTTTATATCTGTATTTTCTTATATGAAAATATATATTTTTATATAATGTGATTTCATAACAAAAAATTCACACATATAATTTTGATATTTGAAAAAAATTACTTTTAAACATAATTTTAAGTAACATAAACAAGTATATGTTTTTATTAACTTAAATAGTTTTTAATTAAAATTATTGAATATTTTATTTATTTTTATATATTTAATTGACTAAATTATTTTTCAACTAAAGCAAAAAAAATCTTTAAATTAAATTTTACTTATATAATATGATTTCTCAAATACAACCACAATTTTACTGCTTATTTTTAAGAGAAATTAAAATATTTTTTAACAATAAAAATCTTTTAATCAAATAATTACAAAATATTTTAAAATATCATACAACTATATACTTTAATGACATAGATATGTTATATTCTATCATTATTTAAATTATATGTTTGTTAAGTTTAAATTATTTTAAAAAAATTTATGTTTGTGTAACTTATTATAACCATAATAAAAATACCAAAGCAAATCCGAATTCTCATTTTTAAGATTATTTAAAATAATTTCAGTTTATCATTCAATAAATCTAAGATATAAAATTATTTAAAATTTATAAAATATTTTAGTTATTGTAAATATTGATATGTGTTCATGAATCTCCAAAAATATATGAGTTACTTAAGTATGTAACTTCCTACTGATTATTGCTTTATTTTCTACTATATTTTAAAGAAACATATAACTTGATAAATATTATGAAAATACGTGCACATTTAAATGATAAATAATATTACTTTAATTTGATTNGAGTTACTTAAGTATGTAACTTCCTACTGATTATTGCTTTATTTTCTACTATATTTTAAAGAAACATATAACTTGATAAATATTATGAAAATACGTGCACATTTAAATGATAAATAATATTACTTTAATTTGATTTATTTTGTGAAATTTATATATATGCATGAGACTTCAAATATTATCTTTATATCGATTGATGT